GCGCACCCTGCTGCGTTATAGCATGTCAAAATACGGTGCGACATTATTTTCCGGACAACCTAATATACAGGGTGTCCGTAAAGTATGCATACACTGTTTGATCGTAAATATCTCGCTTCCCAAGAAGTCTTTTGCCTTGCTTCAGGTACCATTTTGTAGAGCTGGCTTCAACTTAGATTTGCAGTATAAAACGACTCACCCATCTCTCTTCATTACTGTAGGATTACAGTAGAAACTTTGAAGAGGGTTTTGAGCCATGAAAGGCCATATTTTGCCTGACAAAGGAAACAAAACAGCCTGAAAGCGTTAACACTAAGCTAATTAGAGTTGTTGATTCTAATCGTAAATTTCACAACTTATTATGATGCTTCATTGAAGAGTTATGCCGGCTAAGAGATAGCGGCCATTTTTTCAATGTTCCTAAAAAGTGCGGTTACAACGTTTAGAAAGCTTCGCAATCTTGTGAATAGTTGAGTATTGAACTCAGCGTCCATAAAAACCCTATTAAACAAGTTTTCACATTTTTTTTGAAAAATTTTGAGACGGCAGCTTTTTCCACATTGACACCATATGTTTCAGGTTTCTACCGTAATCCTACAGTAATGAAGAGCGATCGGCGATTCGCTCCATACTGTAAATCTAAGTTGAAGCCAGCTCTACAAAACGGTACCTAAAGCAAAAGACTTGTTGGGAAGAAAGATATTAACGATCAAGCAGTATATACATACTTTACGGACACCCTGTATGCAGACAATTTACAGCTAGCAAAACGGAAGATACGGCATGAGATCAGCGGTTATAGATAACTGTTCGTTCTTGCCGTTCATTTTTGGATCGCGTATAGGAATGAGAGATGCTTCCAGAGCCTTTCGTGCAGAAATTTGATTTTCTAAGGTTAATATCGTGCACCTTATGTCCAATTCAATACCGTGCACCATCTTTCGATGCTTATGCTCTTAGCATCGAAAGGAGCACGGAAGTATTGACCTTTACATAAGATACACAATACTAACCTTTGAAAACCAAATTTCTGCACGAAATTTTCTGGAAGCATCTTTAACTCTTATACGCGATCCAAAATGAACAGCAAGAACGAACAGCTATTATAACGCTGATTCCATGCCGTATCTTCCGTTTTGCGAGCTACAGATTGTCTGTATACATAAGCAGTTCGGTGCCATGCACACTGCTCACTTGTTTGTCACAACAAGCGAACGAGCTCGTCTAAAGCGGTTGCACACTGCAATAACGGTAGTACGCTGGTGAGTACGAGTCAACCGCCATACTTTCTTTATCTACGCTAGACGAATCGAATATACGAGTTAGAAGAAGTGTTTGGCGGCCAAGAGCGAACATCATGTGACTGACTCCTCTCAGGCCTCTGACGGCGTGTGGCCGAAAGGTAAGGCAATAAAGTACTACCATAACAAACCTGTACTGCAAAGAAGATAAAGGAAGTTTGATAATAGTTTAGTTTAAAAAAAGCAGAGAACCGTTGCTACCAACGGCAGCACCATGCACTAAATAGAAGCAGGTGAGCAGGTGTTGTAAACAGTAGTTCTGAAAAATGGATGTACGCTCGCACTCATCCCCTGCTGATTTGTCAGGGCTCAAGTGCCTCAACAAACTAGCGACAAGATAGCGCTGGCTATTTAGTACAGTTAGAGCCAAATATTCGTATTCGAATAATTAATTCGAAATTAGTCGAATATTCGAGAAAGTCCAAATATTCGATTTCCGAATAGTTGAATAAGTAAAAAGGTCTGTATTCGAACAATTCGTTCATTCGAGTATTTGGAAAATAAGTTATTCGAATATTCGAATTCGAATATTCTGAAAACTCACAGTTCGAATGATATTCGTTCGTTCGAATATTTTTCAAAGGCCGATTATTCAATATTCGTTCGTTCGACAAAATTTTTCGGTCGTTTCAACTATACTACTTAGCCTCAAACAGTGAGCCATACAGCAGTCTGAGGGCGTTCAAATTCAGAAAACCTCAAACTTAAAATGAGTCCTAGAGGGCCCACATCATTCAACTTAGCCCTGGAAGGATAAGAGCTTAATGCGCTAAGTACTTCTTCTGATAGGGGTTGAGACCATCTTGGAGATCTCATGATATGTGATACATTCTTGATGAGCTGTAGTTTTTGATATGTAATGTTCGAAACCCCTTTAACCCTCACTGACATACTCAGGTGATCGCGGGGGCAGGAGGTCAGCATACTCGCGCTTTTCTACAAGCGGTCAGCAAAATGGCCAAATTTCAGCGAGCGGTACTTCGGTGTTCTGCCGGCGGGCAGCGATACAAAGTTTTCTGCAAGCGCTCTTCAAATGATCCCTTTCAGCGAGCGCGGGCCAAACTTTCGGCAAGCGCTCGGACTCTTTTTAGGCATTTTCGGTCGTACGTTGAGGAGCGGAGGTGAGACTCTGTCTGCTAGAGGTGCCGTCGATGCTTCAATTACCCGAATTTGGGGTACTTTTTCCCAGCGGAAGTTACCCACGGGCTGTGCGGTCCTTCAACAAAGGACCTGCGGCTCCCAATAACTCTGCATATTCTCGCGGAATGTCCGCGAGAATGCGGCCACTGCGCCACAACCAATCTACGAAAAAGCCGCAATTGCTCCCCGAGCGTTCGTCTAAATTTTCGCAAACATTCCTCCAAGTATCTGCAAGCGGACCGCAAGAATTCAGCGGACTATTTTTCCGGTGTTCACCTGCTCATTAATCGCAAGGCCTCCTGCTCCTGGCGATTATCTGAGAAGTCGTTGGGTAACTCTCGTTATCAAACAATGATTTATTTGACTTAAGCTACGGGTTTGGGAGTTGGCAGTGAAATAGTAAGAAACTGCTGATTAGAATATAACAATCGTTTGTAAGAATACCTGAATACCACTCAGATAATCGCGGGAGGCAGGCGGTCCGCACAAACTCGCATTTTCTTGCAGGCGGTCAGCAGAATTTTGGGGCGTAGCCAAACCTTCAGCGGACGATACCTCCTTTACTGTCGAATGTCCCGCTAGCGGGGTAGAATACAGTGTTTTCTGCGGGCGCTCGTCAAATAATCTCATCTAGCGAACGCTGGCCAAACTTTCAGCAAGCACTCTATTTGACGCGTTCACGACAATACGACCCACCGGTGGGTCGTACGTGTTCTGCCATTTCGGACAATACGACCCACCGATGGGTGGTAAGATCCATGAAGCGCTATCTTTACCAGTTTACGAGGGAATTCTACAGGATTCTGGCACATGATTCGGGGCACTTGGGTCAGGCTCCAGCCAGAGTGGTCTGGGCTTAGGATACTGTAATGTAATATTACGGTAGGTATACGGTGGATATTATAAAGCACAAGCTTTCAGCTCAAATTCTTCGCAAAATATGCTGTTTCTGGAGAATCAAGTTTACATGAAGAGTAATACGGGGGGGGGGGGGGCAAGGGCTGACGTTAGCCCACCAAAAAGTATCGATTTTATTGATTTTATTGATTTTTTGCATTTTTCATTCTAGGAAGCTGCAACTTTGCATATATAGGTTTTCTAGCATGATTACGAAAATAATAGTCTCAAGTTTTGATACCACCTTCTAACATCAGTTTCTTGATTTCTACGAAAATTCTACCGTACTGCTACCGTAGTCTCACCCTAAGAATGTAGTGAACAAAGTTGACACTAGACTACCGTGACCTTACCGTATGCTGCCAAAAACTGAAATAAATCATATTTTGGTAATCAGCGCGTTCGATAAACCTTGTGGGGTAATTCTCGGAGACACGTCTTGAATTTCTTCCAAAAAGACTACCATTTCGGACAATACGACCCACGGGTGGGTCGTAATTTTGACGAAGCGTGCAAAATCTGGTCTTATTTCGTAACCTATGTATTTTCTTACTATCTTATGTATGACAACAAAAAATGAAAAACGGAAGTCGTTCCTGGCCCGCAACTAAATTTCTTCGGAGTTATTAAAATTTCGATGCAATTTTCTAAATTACGAAACCATCCTCCTACTTCCTATTTTGAAATTCCAAGCTATTTCGTTGCGTCTCCAGTTAGTTAACGATTTGAGCTCAAAAATCCCACTTTGATCTTAGGATCGCATCTAATTCTGCTAGAGTCGCAAATATTTTCGAAATCACTGCTCCTGTTCAATTGTCCGGGCAATTTACGGCATAACCTGCCCAATGCAGCCTCTTGGCCTTTCCCTGACTTCAGTTACGAAGTGTCAAAGTACCGTCTCAGACAGTCGACGGCATACCTCCGGAGCAGAAATGGCAGAGCCGCGGGGTTTGCCCAGCGGGGGTTTGCCACTCGTGCTCAGGAGCCCTCCCATTTTGTGCTCCGGAGCCCTCCCATTTGTTCTCCGGAGGCCTCCCATTTTGCGCTCCGGAAGTCTGCCTTAGCATAATGTAACTATCTGAGACTACTACTCATCCCGAAGTCCGAGAACAGTTCCAGCACAGTGCTCGAACTAAGCGTTGTGCTGGAACTGTTTCCGACTTTGGAATCAATATGAACGCAGCCTAAGCTCCAAACCCCAATTATGCCCCTAAACGCCACAATTAGCCCTAGACCAGGGTCGAGCAAACGGTGTGGCATACGAGCGCCGATACGCCCCCCCTTCCCCCCTAAGAATTGAGTACGACCCTTCACCCCGTTCTCTGCCCACTCCCTCTCACCCTCAGCGTTTGTAGATAGCAAGGTAGAAGAATGAAGACAAGACGAAGCATTTATTTCAAATTAACTGCAAAACAATTTACTGCAACTTGCAAATGCACTTGACTTCGATATTTAAAGTGCTTATCCTTAGACTCATCATCGCCCCTCAGGTCCTGCGAGTAGTCTTCTGCAGCAAGTTCAAAAGAGTTTGATCTGAAGATGAAACATAATTTGACAGTTTTTAAGACACTCACTGCCTGATAGGTGACCTCTGTAGAAAAATTTGAGGCTGGTATACTGTAGTGAACAAATTACCTTTTTCTGGATTAATAAAAAAAGAAACTAAGCGCAGAAGAAATAAAAGCTCTTATCAGCCATGCGATCTGGGCTCATCAGCGTACGACTATTGCCTAGAAGCATACATATTGAAGCTTTTTCCATACAACGTCTACCAAGCGCTGCCTTGTTTGCTTTGTAAATGGGCGTGCAAAAAGTCCAAAATTTCAGGATTTTGCAAGGCAAAAAGATATAATGGTATACAAGGGTACTCTGTGATTGCCTGGATTTTCTTTCAGTCCTACGCAGCACCGCAACCAGATATGCAATGATAACAATGTAAAGGTCTATTAGAACACAGTCAAATTCACCGAAAATGTCAAAAAAAGCTCACTGATGAAACTGCCCAAAAAATGCTGCGGAAGTGCCCATGTTGATAAACATCAATGACAGAAACTCACCTATTTCTTCACAGAATATCTTCACAGTGTGATCATATTCTCCCGCGACAGCCAGGAAGCACCATCGCGAGTGTCTTGTGTACTTCGGAGCATGTGGAACCTGTGCTGACCAAACAACATTCCAGCTGTGATCGCGCTGTGCTCGCTCCTGAAAGATGGGATTGAGATTGCAAAAGATGGAAGGGAAACTGTTGCCAACATTTTGTGCGGTGTGGGACGCAGACGGATTTGTGTCCAATCCACTCATCCTAGACAGACATCGCTGCTGACAGAAAAGTAGCTTATCACCCATCACCAAGTCAATCTCAGCCTGGAGATACCAATTTTGCTGAAGACGCAACAAAATTTTCTTTACCGTTCATGCTCCAAAGAACAGCGTCGACTGGCTTTTCAACGTAAGACAATGTATTTCGACTCAGCGCTGTTTGAAAAACTATAAGGAGACTACAAAGGATTGTAGCAGATATTATACTGGGGAGAAACTCACATCGACATGTTCAGTTTCGATAGATGTAACAGCTTTTGGTTCGAAAATGCGGATGATGATGCCGTAAACGGTTGTAATCTAAAAAAAACAAGATTACGATGAGAGAATTAAAACCTAGACCCATTACACACTTTCCCTGAAACTTGGCAGCAGCTCACGCTGTTCACGAGCTGGTTGTATCATGAAGACAACCAGAAATTACCTAACCTCTTTTACGTAGTGAAATCAAAATGAAAAACTGTAATACCTGCACTCTAGAAAGGTCGTCCCTCAGAACAACAACGTTTGAACCAACAGCACATGCCTGAAATGGTCTGGACTGAGAGTGGCAGATAATCAACGTACTCATATAATGCGTTCTTTATGCTCTGAATTATACAAAATAACTCCCAAAAAACAAACAGCCATTAGCAACAGACAACTCACATCTTCACTCTTTCTTGACTCATTTGCTGCGACAGCAGCATGAAGCCGATGTTGTACATCAGGCAAGCTAGCTCAAACCCAACATCGTCATACGTGGCCGAGTGAGCGATATTTATTGCTCGGTCATGCGCCCCACACCGACTTCGATTAGTTTGGTGACGCTATCGCTACCCGTTTGAGCAAGTTGGTGGTCCTGGGCAAATTGGCTGCAAGAGCCCCGGAGCACAGATTTGCGCTCCGGAGACCGCTCCGGCTCGTCCAAATCTGGCGTATCTGCGGAGCAGAGATTTGCAAGCCCGCCGGAGGGGTCCCTTCTGCCTTCTTGTGACATCACCGTGACGTCACAGAAAGGGACCGCCCACTCGCCCCGGTCTCAATGGTCAATTGGGTCCTCCGCAGCTCTGCCAGATTTCGACTGTCCTCCGGAGCTACGGCACCGATTGTCTGGGGTGCTGCACTTTTCTAACATCATTCTGGAAGGCGCTAATCCGTTTTGTCCGCAGGAGAATCTGTGCAGAGGGTAGGAAATAAGTTTTTCAGTCGCAAATGTTTATTACGCCTCAGAAATGTCCTACCTGCAAAAATGGTGTCGCAGACTGGGATCGAAGCCAACTGTCATTATAATATAAAGCGTTTATTCAGAACCATAATGATATCTTTCAGTACATTCATTCAAACATGAGTGAGTTGCAACAAACTGAACAACAAAAAGATTTCTTACCCTGTTTAAAAAAATTAATGTTGAAAAATTAATCCTATTATCTGATGTGTAATGCTTGTAATGCTCTATGTTCCTAGAATCTTCTTGCTTGTTATTCTATTCTATTTCTTGTTTATAACTCAACTAGGCAGGTTACAATTCAAATGTCGGAGTCAGATCAAATTCAATGTCCCCTCGGTCAACTGATACGTTCTTGCACTTAAGGTGATCTGACATTCATTAATGCACGTTAACGCAAAAGGAAATGGCTCGAGGGGTAGTGGTGATGGGCAGGGCCCGGCACGAGGTGGGCAGACGAGGTTTTCCAAAACGAATTCCCCTTTGACCCCAATAGTTTTTACGAATACCCCCTTGAGCCCAAAAATGACGCTTTGTGCTTGTGAAACGAGAGCACTGGCCACATTTCGCCTAAAAGCGCTCAAAAGCGCCCAAAATGCTCAAATTCCTCTAATTACTCCTCACCTGTATGAAGATAGAAAACAGGAAGATGAATAAGCAAGGAAAATGATAAAGGAATGAAAAAATATCAAAGAAACGCAGTCATAGGACTGAGAGACGCCGTCCGCGCGTATCGATTGACTGGGGCGCGCTTTCCATCTTAGAAAGCTAGGCTGCTGATGCGATTTTGGGCTCTAACAAAGAAAAGAGGAGGAGTTTCGGAACCAAAATCTCCCCATATAGTAAAGTTTAGGTGAACAACAGATTTATGTAAAAATTTTAAAAATTATGTGAATTGAAAGTTCTGCCCACCTCAGGTGGGCATTAGGTGGGCAATTGCCCACCTAATTTGGAAAAAAGTTAAGCACGCTCTTCATTCACATAAGTTTTCCATAATTTTTCATACATTGTTCCTTAGTCCTACTAGCGTATACACACCAAGTTTCGCGCGATTTCGTTCTCTCTGCGCTGCAAGCGAGCCATTTTTCCATTTTTTTTGATAGTGGGAAATTTTCAGAAAAAAAGCTTGCCACAACCTTCATTCACATAATTTTTCAATGAAACTTCTAAGATAAGCCCTGCAGGCCCATGTTCATGTACCTACCAAGTTTCATACCGTATGGTCATCTGTGCGCTGCAAAAGAGCCATTTGAATTCACATCTTCATTTACCAGTTTTGCGAAATTTTTGGAAAAAATGCTTATTACACCTCCCATTCACGTAAGTTTTTCATAACATTTCATGCTTTGTTTCTACTAGCCTCTCTTTGTTCGCTTACATAATTTGGTGCTATATCATTACGCCTGCATTGAAAACTGATCATGTAATCATGCTGTTCAACGGCATCGCTCATGCGACGTCGCGCACGCGGCAGTTAGCGGCAACGCGGCGTAGTCGCGCGAAGTCTGCTATGCTTTGAGGTTTATGAAAACTATTTTCCGATGAATTAGACGTATAAGGTGAGCATGATTCACCCTCTTTTGCGTGCACTTGGAATCTTTTTCCGGGGCTCTGCCCCAGATCCCGCAAAAACAATATCCCCTTTGCTTTTTGGCCCCAAAACAATTTCCAGCTTGTCATTTGCCCACCTCGTGCCGGGCCCTGGTGATGGGGGGGGGGGGAGAGGGGGGGAGGACACTCGGATAAGTAAATACAAGGGAAGGATTGTAAAAGAGGATCTCATCAACACGCTCGACCCTGGACTGTAGCCAGAAAGCAGTAGTGACTTGACCTTTCGAATACCTTGTCTTCAAGGTAATATTTAGCACAAGTAAGAGCGTAAAACGGGACCGAATCGTCAACGATCTATTTGACATCTCCTTAAAAGCCGTAAACTATCAGCAAGCACAAGGCGTGCGCTGTTATCAGTAGTCAAAGCTAGTGAGAGCGGCTTATACGAATTCTCCAAATATCACTGCAGATTAAATCCGCGAACGGCATGAATGCTCACTGCGTCGTCAGCCCATTTGAGCAGCCAAGCGATTGCATGGAAAGAGGAGTTTCTAAGCTGATCACTTGGCAAACATGCCAGGCCACTATGATTAAGAAGCACCTAGACGAGCTCATCAAATCTGAGTTGTGTACTTCCTAGGCGTAAATCGCACACAAAATCAGCACTTCAACAATGCAGTCACAATTCTATTGCGTGATATCGACCACGCGAAATGCTAGAAGCATTCTGGATATTGCAAGACTCCTACAGAAAACCGCAAGAGCTGCCTAGCTCTCGCAGAAAACCCAAGGAATCTGCCATAATTTACAATCTAATCTCTTATTCATTTCCTTTGTGTATTTCATCCATACTTTTTTGATGCTGATTGATTGAAATTACCCAATCAATCAAATTCAGATAGATGTTTGAAAGATGAAAAAATAGATGTTAGATGAAAAAAGATAGATGGAAAAAAATAGATGAAAAAATGGCTGGATTGCATGAGGTGATCAAGCTTCAAGAGGTATAACTCACATATGGCGCTTCCTCGAAAACGTGTATTCTAAAAATTTGGAAATTTTTCAAATAAGTTCAAAAATGGTCGCGTCACAATATCGCGGACAATAATTCTTCGAACGCGAAAATTTTCTAGGTTAATTTTCAGGGCTCGGCAAGATGTGGCTTTTGGAAAATGCAAAAAAGAAGCCCCCTTTGACTTCCCAAAAAATTTTACGAAACCCCCTTTGGCCCCAAGCCATATCCTTAAGCAACGAAACGTCGACCAGAAAAAGTCGCAAATTTTGTGTGTATTCGGCCACAAAAACGAAACCCCTTTGCTTTTGTTCCAAAAACGATATTCAGCTTGCTTACCAAGCCACCTGTGCAGAGCCCTGGTTGATACTGGAGCAAAAACAGAAGTTTTCCGGTCAGGTAAACATACTGTATTATAGGCTCATCGAGGACTATAATCAGGTAGTGGATACTCCCAAAAAACCCAAGCTTGATTTTTTTCAAAGATAACTTCTAGTTGCATTATTCAAGCCAAATTTCTCCACATGGAAACCTATCCAAGATCCAACAAAGCTGTTTAGATAAAATGGATGCCTTTTGCCATCCTCCATGCATTAGATCTATGCTGGTGAGTTTTTTTTGCTGAAAATGGCTCTTGACATGCACATGATCTCACTTGCACCTAGCCAGTGACCTGTATTCCTTTATAGGTTTGTGAGTCGGCTGGCAGCCTTGCTACGAGCTCGTATAGGCTCATTCGAAAAAGCGTGATTTCCTCGACACGATGGTATGCAAATGAGTTGAAATCCGGAGATTTTACGATGGGGTAAAAAAAGCAGCCTTAGTAGGCTAAGGATTTTTCACCTAAATTGAACAGAGCTCCTTTCGCTAACAGTTCTATTCCGGAAGTTCAAGCTGTCAATTTTCTTGTATAGATCCATTTCGAAGCTCTAAGACTGTTCTGGTGTTGGTAAGAGCCTTCACTCCAATCAGCTTTAAGGCTGCTTTTTTCACCCCATCCGTAAAGTCTCGGGATTTCAACTCATTTGCGCAAAAAAAACTCACCAGCACAGGTCCGATGAATAGAGGATGGCAAAAAGCATCCATTTTATCTAAACAGCTTTGTTGGGATGCTCTGGATAGGGTTCCATGTGGAGAAATTTGGCTTGAAAAAAGCAACTAGAAGTGATCTTTTGAAAAAATCAAGCTTAGATTTCTTGGGAGTAACCACTACCTGATTAGTGTCCTTGATGACTTGATCATATTTTCATCATGTTTCTCATCTAAACTAGTGAACCAATAATCTAAAGGTGCTACTTGGAAGAGCGTTCGCTTCGGGACGGCTACGCGGTTTCCCGCTATTTGCAAATTTTTGGGTTGTGTAAACGATTCTTTATATATATTATTTAAAAAGGGGTTGATGAAAAAAGGAGGGCGACTTGTCCGCACCTTTTTGGCGGTCACTGTATATAGGGCGAATTAAGCATTTTTGGACTTTTTCTATGAATATTTGGTGCAAGAGTAATTTTTAAGTTTAATAAAAGCAGATATACATAGATAACGCCTCAGAACATAATTTTTGCGAAAATCCGATGTTTTCGTGCTTTCATTTATTTTATTTTTATTCAACACGCTCTTGGCGTTCCTTACAAAAGAACGAAAACATACAGCCACTCAAAGATATACTGTCTAATCTTTGCTTTGCTCTCATCTAAAACATAAATACTCTTCGTTCTTATGCATAAGAGAAAAGGAATACATCATTGAGCTGCGGGTTTCAAAGAAAGTTTCCAGACTTCATTGGCTAGAAGAAGCTTCTTATGCTAGCTTTCATAGAGAGGCCAGATAGCAACAAAAGAGCGAAAGAGCAAAAGAACATATATTGCTTAATTGCACCATCTACTCTGCAAGGTACGGTGTAGTGTGACATCCATCACTGTTTTCCAATGGCAGTCCGA